ATATACATACATATTTATACCTCTTTATGCTAATGACACAACAAGGTTTCCGGTTAACTTCAATGAGGTGACTCTGAATCTAAAATCACTGACTTTACTTTCAAACTTTTTGGGTAACTTAAATATTTGAATATTGATGTATTGTTAAAAAAAGCAGAAACCAAACCACTGAGATGCAGTAAGCTTAAAATTTTGAGGGTAAAAAATAATCATTAAAACTATATAAAAATAAAAACAAAAATTGTTGTAAGAAATGAAATGCATAACAATTTAATTGGAATTAATTTGTTTCAGTTACTATTCTTATTTAATTGAATAAACTAAGTAAATAAATGTTAAGAACTATCATAATAGACCGGAAAGATCCTGCGCCCCGGAATTTGTACATATAAGTAAAGATAAAAATGTTGGAATTTGACCATTTTTATTGTTTGGTTCAATTCAATTCAAAAATACTTTATTAAAGGAAAAGTCCGGTCAGCAAGAAATAATCAATGGATCATTATCTATACCTAAAACTAATACACTTGCTGTGATTTAATGATTTTAGTGTTAATCAATAAAAAAGTAAAGACAATAATTTTCGTTGCGATCACTGAGTCTGGCAATTTTTTCACAATTATCGTAACACCTCACTTCTGATCAATGGGAGCTACTACACACCTCTGCAATCAACAACAATTATTTAACATTTCGAGAGGACCATTGAAATTCACAAGAGCTATACTATGCCCACGTGCATGGCAGTTGGATGTTGTTATACATTGGGAGGATTTGCCATCTATCTTCTGAAAAGAGTAAAAACACGTAATATGTAGCCAACATTTCAAAGAAGAATCTTTTCCAGATGACTTGGATAATAGCGCGTTGTGACAAACACCAGACACAGCACTGGGACTTGATCAACAGCTGATACCGCAACGTGACGTCACTAACCGGTAGGTGGCAGTAGTGTTCTTTGACAGGATGTCTCCAGTAAAGCACATTTAAATGAAATTACTTTTAATTAAAAACAAGTATCATTTATTGAACAGTCTGTCATAATTTCAAATTTAAAGTACTTTCAGAAGTTTGGATTCTGAATATGGCCGGACTTCTCGTTTAATCCCAAAGGGGAATAAAGTTTTGCGGTAACTCACAAGTAGTTTTTCAACTAGATATTTTAGGCCAAGGACCCCAATAGTGATGGCGAGATGGAGCGGGGACCCCTAATTATATATATTGTATGAAATTGTGTTATATAAACCTGGTCCTATAGTCACTCTATTAAAGATGGAGTCATGTAACGAAAGTAAATTCACACTGGGATTATTAAAGTATTTCTGATTCTGATTCCTTGATCTTCTTGTAAGGTTTTAATGATGGTTGGCAAACTAGTTTAAGTGCATTACCGCCACCAACTGATAAGGCGTTAAGCAAGGAAACAGGAAACAAGACCTACCCCCAGAAAAAAATTATAATATTTTCCCAAACTATTTAACTTAACCCAACATAGTAAATACTTAATCAAATTTGTCCTCATAATTTCTAATTTATCTTCAAGTCATCATCACTCTGCCAGTGTCTGATGGTCCTACTGGTTTTCCCATCATGTTTTCCACCATTTCCCAGTTTAAATCTTTAACTTCAAGAAACTTATTCTGCATTTTACTATTATTTTTTATTATTTTCGTTTTTTCTTGTCGTCTGAGCACTACAATTGATGACTTTTACCATGAAAAGAACAAAATCTTTCTTTTTTACATCGATGAATATTCTCCCATTTTGGGACACTGCTCCAGAGGTTTTGAACTTGCCATGTGCTGAACTGTTGGTTTGTCAGTTTTTTTCTGACTGGGATTGGATCCTTTTTGCAGCTTCAGCATAAGTTATTCCGAGCTCAAATTTCACTTTTCTTATTTCCTGAGACCTTTTGCTTACTTCACAGCCATGATATGCAGCAGTATGTTCTCCACCACAGTTCCAGCATTTGATCTTAACTTCTTTCCCACATTTTCCATATTCATGCTCTCCAGCACATCACTGTTTTCCTTTGGATACTGTTGCTATATGTCAAAATTTTTGGCATTTGATGCATCTCAGAAGTGGAGGATTGTAATTTTTGACATTGTAGATCATGTATCCAATGAAAACCTTGCTGGGTAAATGCTCTTCTTCCAATTTAATCAACATGGATAAGCTGTCCCACCTTTCTCCATTTGTTGTTCTTTTTAACCGTTTCACTTCTTTTACTTTTGCACCACTTATGTTTTCTAGAATCTCTTTTTCAGTTACTTTAGAGGAACTCCTCAAATGACTCCCCTGCTAATCTTTTTGTTCTCCACTAAGCCGCACTGAACTCTTTTTCCCTCAATCTTGCTGATCCGTGTAGCTTTGACTTGTTGAGGCTGTCAATGCAGTTTATTAACAGGTCTCCACTATAGAGGACTTTGGACTTCTCCTACAAGTTTATTTATGGATTTTGTTAACTGAACCGGATTCCAACCTGTAAAACAGTCTGTCTGATTAACTAATTTGAATATGACTTTGTAATCATTCTGTTTTCCTGTGGATTGTTTATCACTTGACTGTTCTGAACAGGACTCCCCTTCAATTGATCTCTGCCTTTTCTCATTTTTTGACCCTGCTCTCCTCCAATCTTCTTCGTTTTTACTATTTCCCTCTTCGATCCCACGCTTCCTGTTTCCTCGCTATCACACAGCCCAGGACATTTCTCCACAAGCGGCTTAGAAACACGCGCCAAGCACCACCGCTTCAGGAACTCTGATTCCTCGTTGATGGGACAGGTGTTGTGAATGAAACGGTGCCCAGTTGAAAGAGCTCCTGTGTGTCGCTGAATGTGTGCATTGATGACTGAAAGACATCTTCTGCCTCCATTTATCTGTTTCCCACAGTGTGATGAATTCATGTTAATGTTAAAGAAATTTGAATAAGTGGAAAAAAAATACAGGGGTGAATATAAAAAAAGTATAACCCAAAACTTTTGCGACCCCCCCATGCAGTACCTGTGTGGAACCCCTAGGGGTCGCGAATCAAAAACTCTGATCTACACTAACATGTTTTCGGAGCAGACTAAAGAATTTCTAAGCAAAAAAAGAATAATTTTGACACTGAAAACTTTTGTTTTTGTGAGGTTGAAACTGAAAGTCTGAAAAAAAAACTGTTCTTTGATTGCACTATAGTCCAAAGCTTTTGGCATGGTTTTCTGATGTGGACCCAGTCTAAAAGAATTCAGTTACCTAATTTTACCCCAAGAGTAGCTTTATTTGGTATAGTTGCGAAAACTGAACATAATTCTGGTGTTAATATTTTAATTTTACTAGTTAAATTTTATTTACACAAATGCCGTTATTTAAAATGTAAACCAGTTATATCCCATTGGAAAAATTAGACAAAATCTTATGTTAAATCTTTAGAATTTGTAAGAACAAAAAGTGCTGGTAATCTCTTTCTTTCGTGAGTAAATTTAATCTGCTGGTTTAACGCCCTGTTCTTGAATCGATGTATAATATAATGTTGCCCCTTTATTATTATTATTATTTTATTATTATTACCATTATTATGTTCCCTCTCTGTGTATATTTGATTTTCTTCTGTATTAAGATACGCTTTCTGTGAATGCAATTAATGCAGTTCTGTACTTGTACCTGGTGTAATGTACATTGGTTAAATAAAGTAAAAAAAAAAAAAAAATGTGTTCGGAGCAGGGAGGAGGATTCCGCTTGATGCAACACCAGAAGTAAACGTCACTTCCCAAATGATCATCTGACGTGGCCAAAACAGTTTTCCACCGGTGTTGGGGTTTCCACGCGTGGGATATTTTATCGGACGTTTAATTGTAAGCCGGTAAGATCTGATTGTTTTAATGTAGGTTTTCGGGACTAATCTTTAAGGATAGATTTTACTTCCTATTCCAATCTCATTGTTTGTCTGTTTATTTACTCAAACGCAGATCCGCGGTGACAAGATGTTGGATTTCTTCACCATCTTCAGCAAAGGGGGGATAGTGCTGTGGTGTTTTCAGGGCGCCGGGGTTTCCGAGTCTTTTACGGGCCCAGTCAACGCTCTGATCCGCTCCGTGATCCTGCAGGTGACATCAAAAGCAGTTTATCGGTTATCTTCCAGCGTAATTAGCGAGAGTTTAGCTAATGCTAAGCTAGCGCTAGCGGTTAGCAACCGCTAGCTGTTAGCCACATTCGACTCTAGTAAACAAACTATTTATTTTCATTCCATACTCGCGTTATTTTTCACTTGCTAAATTAATTGATACATTTTCTGCTAAAATACAGTTCTTCCAGTTTTTTAGACGCAGAAACCAAGTTAAATCAGCACGTATTTTAAATAATGGCTGTAGGATTAGATGTCAACTTAGCTTGTGTTGCTTTAACAGGAGCGCGGTGGGAACAACTCCTTTACTCATGAAGCTCTGAGTCTGAAATACAAACTGGACAACGAGTTTGAGTTGATATTTGTGGTGAGTCTCAAACTTAAATGAAGATTATCATGAATTTCAGCAGAGCAGGAGGAGGCTGACCCGTGTTTACTGCTTCTAGACTCTCATCACTATTTTTCCCCCCATTGTGATCAGGTGGGTTTTCAGAAGATCCTGACACTGACTTATGTGGACAAGTTTATAGATGATGTCCAGCTTCACTTCAGGGATCGCTATAAGAATGAGTTGGAGCAGAAAGGAGCCCTGAAGCTGCTCAACAGCAGCTTTGACTTTGAGGACAGGTTCAAAAAACTACTAAGGTAAGAAATGTCATGTTTGTTTGCTTAATGTCTCTTTATTTATGTTGGCATATGCAAAAATTAATAATCCAATAGTTCACAAATATGCATAATATTAAAATATTGTCTTGCTTTAGTATTTCAATGTTTTCTTATTTCTTTCAAGTTACCACATTAAGCTTTAGTATTGTAATTTGGATTTATATGATAGATCACCACATTCTGTTGCGGTTCTCTCCCCTCCTAAAGAAGATCGTCTCCATGGCTACTTCTTATACTGTGCAGTTGCATGTCTTGGTGTTGGGCCATGTTAGCTTTATTTATTTTTAAGCCATAATCCCATTGTGGTGCAACATTTCTTTCTCAAAGGATTCCTGACTGGGAGGTGTCATTTTTCTATAAAAAGTCTTTTGCATTTAGTTGAAAAGTTCACCTTTTGGCTCATTTTACTAGAATGTCTTTTTTTTTTTTACGCGCAAATAGCATTTTCTTTCATTTCGCCAATACTTAAACAGCATCCTTCTTTTTGCATTGGTAGCATCATACATTTATCCACATTGGTGCATCGATTAAAGTATTCATAATAGATGTTATAGTCTGTGTAAGCACCTTGATGCTCTATCTCTCCAGTTCTTTTTCTTGAAAAGAGATCACTCGGGACAAACTCTTTAAATAACACTTCATAACTTATATGTATTAAAACCAGGAAACATAACAACAGATTTTGATATAAAATTTAATCTTACTCAGATCAGAGAAGTTGCTTAGAATTTACAGAAGGCAGTTGCTCACCTTTCGGGAAGTGGCCCTGATTGACAGTTAAAAAGGCATTTTACACATCTCCAGTCTGCCACATAATTACATCCCACACATTAGTAGATGATTAGACATCCTTGGGTCCAGCCTTATAAAAATATTATACTTTTTTCTTAGCTGAAGGACACCGATCTCATTCCATTTCCAAATCTTTGCCACGTACAGATTATGAAGATTGTAACTGTAAATCCAGAAAGTGGAACTGCCTTAATTAGATTAACTATTGTGGAAAACATCAGTTCTTCCCGTTTTCAGGCAGCCGATACCAAGGTGTAATAAACTCACACATCTTCAATGATAATCAGCCTAACATAGAGTAAAATGGCAAAATGTGCTTTTTTTATAATTGGAATAAAATTGCTTCTTGTTGAGCTTGGAAATAAAATGCACAAAACATGTTTCAGATATTTAGTGAGCCTATATCAGTGTAAAAAAAAAATTGATGGACGGGTTGATGACATTATGTTATAGTGATCACAGATATTGAATGGAAAATGTATCATGACAGATGCGACAGGCTAATATTGACAAACATTGAATCGTCACTTAAAAAAATTATATAAAATAAGATTGTATCAGCTGGGGTTTGCTTGTATTTGCCCACAAAGTCACCTACATAATCGCTATTTGTTGGACTGAGGAATATTGGTTGGAAAATGTTTATATATCAGTCGACCTTATTTGATATCCATTTTATTTTTGATCTGATACCATCTGTACACTCTCAAATTGGATTGCTGCTAATAAAAACTTTTTTCTAAGCTGTTACCTGAATTACACAGCTCTGTGGTTGTGCAACATATTTATGCTGTTTATTAATCAAATTTACTTTTGACTTAATGAAAACAAATTACTAATGAAAAATGGTACTTTTAAAAGCTTGCTCTCATTTCTTCATCCCTTCTGGGAGTTGGCCTCAATTTACAGCCTAACTAATCCGAGTTGGGAAACATGTTTGTAAAACTCGTTTGCATCGCCTGAAAACATTCAGAATGTTTGCTGCTAGTTGGTAATTAATTTGGTAGAGCTGATGGAAAAAAAAAAAACAAATGAAAAAAAATCTACTTAAACATAATATTAATAATTGGAAGTAATAGATTAAATAAACACAGCCCTGGTGCCCAACTTTGCTCCAAGGTATCTCTGCTTTCACATAGCGCTCCTCTTCCTTCCCGTTTACAATCATGCACTGCTGTGTTGGTGTTTTAAATAAAATCCCATTTTGAATGTTAAATATTAAACATAAGATTTCAAAATGTCACACAAACTAACACAAAGTGGTCAAAATTTTGGTCGCAAACTGTATGTTTTTGCTATTCAGATGTTAGGTTTTACAATACTGCTGCAGATTTTTACGCATCGTACTCAGCATTACGCATCAAATCTTTTACAGATTTGATGCGTAATGCACAAATTTGGTAGTTTGTGTTTTGGGGTTTCTTTTTCAAAAAATATTCAGTTCTGGGTCTTCAATTTCTGGTCAAACCACCAAAAATTCCTCCTATTACTAAAACATTAAAAGAGGCATTTTAATGAAGACTTGGTCTTATTTTGATAGTTTAAAATGAACAAATGTGCCTTTGCTACTGGAAATAAAATGGTATCTGTGCAGAATGTGATTCGCTGAAAATCTTTCAAGTTTCACTTCGAATACTGACATTCACTTTTGTACCAAAAGAGAGGCGGAGGAATCCAGTAAAGTCCGAAGCCACGCCCCCATGCGGTCATTTAAGGAGTCAGAGAAATCCCAAAAAACTGTGAAGTCAATGATTGAGACGAAGGGTGGAGATAAGGCGAAGGAACCAGGAGGCAAAAAGAATAAAAATACCAAAAAGGAGGGTGAGCGATGCTCCTGAATGGCTAATTTTAAGCACTTGGCCTGTTTGTTATATGATGACTGGATGATTAAGTTTTATTTTATATATATTTTTAAAGCTCCTGCAGTCGAGCCTGCCAAAGGAGATCAAATTAAGACCTCACCGCCTGGCCAGAAGGCGGCTGTAAATGGTAACAAAGACTTGACCCCTGAGGAGATCATGCAGAAGAAGAGAGAGGATTTCTTCCGCAAGCGCTCTGTACCTGCTGAAAAACCAGTGTGAGGATGCAGATCTTTTCATTTTATTTCATTTGTCATTGTTTAACTAACACAACACCGATGTACAGTAACCTTTGTTACTTATATTAAAGCTTTAGTTTTTGAAAAAATAAAATCCCTGTTTACAGAAAATCCCCAAAGCCCCAAAAGCCAAAGGAAAAACAGATGCGTGTTTGGGGCAACGCAGGCAGCAGCATCAAGAACCTGGACTATAGCGACAAGAACGGAGTAGCTGCTTCTGAGGAGAAGAACCTGGAAGCACAATTCGACCCAGTAAGTTTCCTCGGTGCACAATTAGTTGCAGCTTTACTCACACGGAGGGTAAAATCTGGGACGTTTTTTCTGGAAATTCAGGTGGAGGGTATGAAGGGCGACCTGCGTTCTGTGGACTACGAGTCCAGCGAGGAGGTAGAGCTGGAGGAAGAGGAGGAGGAGGAGGAGGAAGTAGGTGTCAGTGAAAAAACCCAGACCAGGTAAAGTGCTCATTTTGGGAACACATCCGTAGCAAATAAAGCCGATTCCAAGTTCTCAGCTTAAATATATTTAAATTTTTTTCTTTCCTCAGTTCCAAAAAGAGTGGCGGCTTTGGAGGGATGTTTGGGATGCTGAAGGGTCTTGTGGGCTCTAAGAGCCTTTCCCGGGAGGACATGGAGCCGGTGCTGGAGAAAATGAGGGAACACCTCATCGGTAGGACTGCAGCTCCCTTTCTTTCTGCGGAAATGACACCAATTAAAAAGTTACTTTATTCAGCTTTTTGTTTTTTCTCATCATTCACCAGCTAAAAACGTAGCAGCGGATATTTCCTTCCAGTTGTGCGAATCTGTTGCTAAGAAACTGGAGGGAAAAGTCATGGGCACGTTCACCAGTGAGTACATTTATCACACCTGCAGCTCAGTCCTGTCCCTTTGTTTTGTTACTTTAAGGAATAACATCCTGTTCGTGATTTTTCATGAAAGCAACAGTGATGCCATCATGGCAAAGTTTTTCTTCTGGCTTTGAAATGATTTTCTATTCCTTTGACACTCGTGAAATGTTAAAGTAACTCTGTTTTCACGTGAGAAAAATAAACATTCCTCAAAAAAAATGTACAAAAGCTGTTGATTAAATTATGTGTAGTTGAAATATATTAGTATATCTGCTTAAGATTTAGCTGAAAATGCTAAACATTTTCAGATCGTCATCAAAGGAGGCACAGGTGATGATTAGGTATGGAAATCGTACAAAATAACGACTTTGTTTTTTTTTTTACAACATTAAAACTTGGGTGGATCTTTATTTATGATCTTTATTTGAGAATATTTTTTTTTGCATTTAATGTCAACAGTTACCTACGGAAGAGGATTAGGGCCACTGAAAAAAAAAAGTTAACTGATTTTTTTAATTTTATTTCAGTTTAGTATGGGGGAAAAAAGTCAGAATTCTGACTTTAATCTCAGAATGCTGACTTTTTTTAAATTGAGATAAAATTGAAAAATCGGTTAACTTTTTTTTTTTTTTTCCAGTGTACCTTATCCTCTTCCGTAGAGATTAAAGTCAGAATTCTGAGATTGAAGTCAGAATTCTGATATTAAAGTCAAAATTCTGAGAAAAAAGTCAGAATTCTGAGATTAAACTGAAATAAAATTAAAAAATAATTTAATTTTTTTTTTTTTCTTTTTTTTTTTCCCAGTGGCCCTAATCCTCTTCCGTAGTTACCCAAAGAATCAAGCTGTATAAAAAAAACTTAATAGTGGCCCATAATGACATGATAGTTTTAGGCTCAGGATTTTAATTGATAGTGTTAATTAACAGTTAATTTATTTAACCAGGTGAATCTCTGAAATTATAAATCCCTTTTACAAGAGAGACCTGGACAAGACTTTATAACATCCTAATAATTGTAAATCATAACTACAGATATCAAAACCAGTTAACTTACACAATAAAGTACAGAAAAAAGAAGTAAAATACTGTCTAATACTAATCAAAGCTTTGGCAAAATAATATCTTTATGTACAAACTGATAATGTCTTTAAATACTTTAAAAGAAACAATGATAAAGAAAGGATTTTAAAAATGTTATTTTGTAATATTTACTGCATATTTATATAAATGTTAAATATTTGATAGTTAACATTTATTGTTAAGAGATGCTACTATATCACAGGTTTGCAGCTGTTATTAATCATCTGAATTTCTGTAGTGTGTTGTGAAGTAGCTGGCGTTTTTGTACCGTAATTTTGAGTTTATTTGAGATTGTTTGTCAAAGAGTATAAGAAAGAAGTAAGGAATCCATGATGTGTCTAACTTAATGTTGTGTGTTCCCAGCTGTTGCTTCCACAGTGAAGCAGGCCCTGCAGGACTCCCTGGTGCAGATCCTGCAGCCCAAGCGCAGAGTGGACATCCTGAGAGACGTCATGGAGGCTCAGCGCCAGCGCAGGCCCTTCGTCGTCACATTTTGTGGCGTCAATGGGGTCGGCAAGTCTACCAACTTAGCCAAGGTGAGTTTAATCATTTGAATTCTGTTTGCAATGAGTCCTTAATGGAATTTATGGTGAAATTCAGAATTCAAAAGGAAAGTGTTAACAATCTGCCTTTGATGTCTGGGCACAGAGAGATGGTATTTCTTGAATTTTATTACTGATTACTTTCAATATTTTTTTATTAAGGATTAGTCTTTCTCACATGTTCAGCTTCATGTGTCTCCGTCTCGGTCCAGATCTCCTACTGGCTGATTGAAAACGGTTTCAGCGTGCTGATCGCTGCTTGCGACACTTTCCGTGCGGGCGCGGTGGAGCAGCTTCGCACTCATCAGCGGCGCCTGAACTCACTGCACCCCCCAGAGAAGCATGGGGGTCGCCCAGTGATCCAGCTCTATGAGAAGGGATACGGGAAAGATGCAGCTGGAATTGCAATGGAGGCTATCGCCTACGGTAACCAAAATGTCCTTTAATTGGGCCTTTATTTAAAAAAGTGTTATTATTAATATTCGTTGAAAGTTTTTTTTCACCTCTCAAGCACATTCCTATGTGTATTATAGTGAGATTTTATGTCAGACCTGGACAACATGGCGTATTATTGTTTATATTATGTGGGGCACGCAGCGCAGAGAAAACATCATCCCAAAGATGAAACATGGTGGTGGCATCATGATGTGAGCATGCTTTTCTTCAGCAGGAGCTTAGGAACATTTATTGATCTGGAGAAGGGCTCTAGTTAAATATAGGGCAGCTATACCTCCAAAAAAGCAGAGGTTTACGAGCCTAAACACATACAGGCACAGTTCCAATAGAAATGTTGAGAATAAAGTTTGTGTTAAAATGGTCAAAATCTACAACTAATTGAGATTGTGTGAGAGAACCTCAGAATTACTGCTCGGATACTTTATATTCAATTCAACTGAGTTTTTTCCGCTTTACTGTAGAATTTCAGTCTTTATATGTGCAAACCTGGAGAAACCTCTCCATGTCGTCTACTAGTTCTTGTTGTTGGTGTATGACATTAAGTCTTATTAAAATGTGTTAGTTTGTTTAAAAAAAGTACTGTATGGGCCATGCTGACTGTCCATGTTGGATGCCTTTCCTCCAGCTCGGAACCAGGCTTTTGATGTGGTGCTGGTGGACACCGCTGGGCGAATGCAGGACAACGCCCCCCTGATGACGGCTCTGGCTAAACTGATCGCTGTCAACATGCCTGATTTGGTGCTGTTCGTTGGAGAGGCTCTGGTGGGAAATGAAGCAGTTGACCAGCTGGTTAGTTGGCTTTAGAAATTATGACTTAAATCTTTTTTTCCAATCCTTTTTAACTGACCACTAGGGGTCAGTATTGTCACATACCTGCTGTTTCATATGGAGTTCTGTGCTCCTCCATCTCCACTCACCCTCTTCCCCTAAACACCACTAAGTTAATAAGATGATTTTATGCATTTTCCCCCATCTGTTCCTCTCAGAGTTCAGCTGAACATTTCAGTATTCTCCTGTTTGTGTCCTCAGGTGAAGTTTAATCAAGCTCTGGCCGACCACTCCATGTCTGACAAGCCTCGCCTCATCGATGGAATCGTTCTCACAAAGTTTGACACCATTGATGACAAGGTAATTATTCCTGTTCCTTGTCTTACGCTACCTGGTGTTATTATTTGAAATAGTTTGAAAAGCTGACGACCTTTCCGCCCTCAGGTTGGTGCAGCCATCTCCATGACTTACATCACGGGCCAGCCCATTGTGTTCGTGGGCACAGGGCAGACCTACAACGACCTGCGCAGCCTCAACGCCCGCGCTGTGGTCAGCGCCCTCATGAAGGCTTAACGAGCAGCTGTCATCGGTTTTCAATACAAGCCAACGGTACACTTGCCTCGCTGCCATCAGACGTTCCAGCACCATTAGCCCACCATACATGCTTGTTTGCTTTCCAACCAAACTTGCAGACAATAAACTCAATTGACGGACATATGTGCACCTCAGAACGCTTTCCTTGAAACCCAGTGGAGCCTTCCTTTGAACGATTATTTATTTTTTTTGGGCCAAAATAGTGTATTACAGATCAACTAACATGGCATTTTAACTGGACTTTTATCAAATCTTACTGGTTTCAACTGCAGAACGTTGGCATTGTGTCCCTCAATCACCTCAACTTCATGGAAATTGGGTTTCCTGTTCCCAAGGAGAGCTTAGCAACCATAGTGCCTCTTTTTTGATCTCTTATTTAATATATTACGCGGATGGTTAACCAACAGAGATACAGTTCCAGGTGAGAATCCTACTAAAAGATTAGAAGTGACGGCTGGATTTAAAATTGAGCATTTCTTCAGTTTAACTGAACTAAACTGCATAAAGAAGCTAAATCATTATGGATGGTGGTCCTTTATAAATCAGAACAAAACATCTTAATCATTAACTGTACTGTCTTTGCTTCATTTGGATGTTCCCTTTTAAATATTCTTCTTTACATGACCCCCCCACCCCCACGTTAATTATTGATTAGAAAATAATATTTAAGTCAGATGAACTTTCCCATTGTGTCACCTTACAACCAAAAACTGCAATGTATTTTATGTACTTGAGTATTTCCTGATTAAATTTCAAGAAAACTATTTTTGGCTTTCCAAAAGTTTTATTTTTTATAACTTAAATTGAGGAAAGACACGTGCAAATGTCTTCGAACCCTCTTATTTAATACATGACAGCTTCAAGCCTTGATTACATCTATAAGCTATGCACATCTGGAATAAACCTTTTCATTTTGGTTTTGAGAGATTTGCCTAGCTTGGATTAAAAAATGTTCAGGTATCTGGCTTTGCTGTTTCTAAACTAACTAATAAACTTTAATCTAAAACATGCCCCTGCAGCTCTGGCTGAACCTAAAGTTTCCTGCTGGAAGTTGAGCCTTTACTCCTCTGCAGTCCCTTAGTTTGCCCTTCCAGGATTGGTCCGTACGTAGCACCATTCATCTTCCCATTAACTCTTCCTTGTGAAGAAAAGTATCCCCACAGCATGATGCTGTCACCACCATGTGTTACTGTGTGGATGGTGTGTTCAGCATACTATACAATGTATTTTTTTTTCTTCTGTTTGCAACATCCTGGTAGAATAACACTGAAGTTTGTGGTTGTAAAGTGTGACCAAACAGACAGAACTTGTTTTTACGTCCTATCAGTCTCAGATTTGAGACTGTGCTGTTTTTGTTTGTTTTAATCAAAGTTATGAGACCCTTTGTTTTAATTTCCCTTTTAATTTGATGTTTTTTTTTTCAGTGGAAATCTAAGTTTAAAGTTCTGTAGCCCATCCTTTAAGGTCTGATAGTGCAATACCAGAGAATCAAGGATCAAACTGGCATTTTGAACTAATTTATGAGAATGTAAACATTTCTAAATAAAGCTGCTATATGCTAAGTTGGCCTAGAGAGTGGGACTTGCTCTGTTATCACTGCAAAGGTTGATCCCATGAGGTATGTCATGGTTACCAGTGTTATAAATGAGATGAATGGGATACCAAAAGCTTTTATTTTGAAATAGACCTTATAAATACATCAGAAACACATTCAGGTTTTAAAAATACAATAAAGCATACAAAGAACACTTTGTTTAAAGCATAGGGATTGCTCCAATAAGGGAGCAGAACTGCTATGGAAAAAACAAACAAAAAAAAAACCCTCTCCTGACCTTTTTAACATAACACCAACTCATTTACCTGTCATGTTTTGGGAAAAGTTATATTCTGCCCAACCCTTCCTTTAATTATTCTGCTAACAGGGTTCTGAGTGACGGATTAAATCTATCAACGCCAGGTTTGGGAGTTCGCCTTTCATTTCATCTGCTTGGATACAAAGCTGTGAGTTTTTGTGCAGTCTGAATTGAGAACATTGTGTTCTCTGAGTTTAACGCAGCAGCGTTTAGTTTCTCTGAAGCATTTTGGTGTTGGGAAATGGCATTTGAGGTTTTTGGTTTTGGCATTGATGGATTTAACTCAACTCATTCAAATAAAATAAAAACAAGGATCGGAGATATACAAATATCTTTAGGTCACCCAAGAATCACCAAATAGAATAGACTAAATCGCACTTAGTGAACTAGACTCTTTAAGATGAAGAAGAAACAGATCCCATGTTTTCTACCAACTCTGGTGACGGGGATCATTTAAACCAAGAATGAAAACATTCTGTCACAGCTGATTCTCCCGAAGACACTTTCCATGCAGTCAGTCCCAATTTTAGTTATGCGAAAAATGTCTGTTGAATGTGGCAGCTTCTCACAGTGAGGGCGTTGCACCTGCTCCTTCTAGCCCTGGAGGAGGTTTTTCTGTGTACTGAAGCCATTCTGCTGTTCCTCTGCATTTTGGGAAGGTGACCCTGTGGAACAAAAAAAAAAAAGTTTCAAACCCATATTTGCAATCAGTAAAACTGTAGTAACTAAATGAAAAAAAAAAAAACTTCATTAATCCTAAAAGGAAATTAATTATTTGAAGGTATAGTGGAGGATTTTCTCGAATTTTTTAAAAGACTCGCCCTCTTCACTTTGGAAAAAAAAAGGGCACATGCACAACCCTGTACCTGCTCCCAAGAGGGAACCCCTATTAAAAGCATGCAAGAGCCTCCATGAGCCCATTTCTCCGCATGCACGCTCTGTTAAAAAGTTGCTGTTGCGTTGCTCATATAATCTTACTTTCCAAAAGAAGATTTGCAATTTTTCCACTGTCAGACTCGCCACTGGTAAGTAAAAATGGGGACGAGCGCGTAGACAGTCTTACGTAAATATATCACCAGAATGATTGACAATTAAGAGGACCGCTTATTTTGATGATCCACCCAGAAAAACAACATCCTCCATTATACCTTTAACTACTTCATTAAGCAAGTAGCGTTTTTCCCCTGTCTTAATATATCTGTAAGTCTATGACATCATCCAGTTAAATGTATCTTCGTCATTAAGAATATACATGTTTAAAAAATTGCTGCACACAATAAAAAGAACTTGACGTTCTTGCTTTAAACTCCTCTCTTGCAGGAGAAAAATTTAGTTGAGACAAACCAGCTCAAGTTCTAAAACAGTCATAGTGCTACTCAAGTCCTTAATGCTCCTTCAGAGATGACATTCTGCTTCTTTCAGAGAAAGAACTCGTTGAAAAAGTTAGAGGCGGATCCGCTGGCTTTCCAGGAGCTTACCCCAGCCGTTCGTAGACACGTCTCTGTTGCAGATCTCGTTTGCCAGCCTCTCAAAATACTCAGGGAGGTCCGCGTATTCGTCGCCGTAGGATATGACCTTGATGCCCTTGTCCAGCATGTTGTCACGTAGCTTCTTGAACTCGCCCACGTCCTCCCGCCGTACGAGCATGAAGTGCTCCAGGTCGGACTTGTGTTTGACCGCCTCCAGGAATAGAGCCTGAAAGGTTGTATCGTCCACGGTGCGTCCGCAGCCGAGAAACACGAAGGATTTGGTCTCGTACAACTTCTGGATCTCGCACTGTTAAAACAAAACAAAATAACATCTATAAACTGGAGGTATCTTTAAACAGACATTTTTCAAACCAAACAAAAGAAAGTTTAGAGCTCACCATGACCTCTGTGTTCCTCAGTACATTCTGGTAGCCAGCAGGGTGCAGCACAATGCCGCAGGGGTTAGTGTAAACACCGTGGATATGCAGAACACTCAACCTCCGTTTCTCCTGAGCCCACTCCAACACCTGGAAAAAGACGACTATACTTAACAGTCGACTGCACAGAATCCTGTTCTAACTGGGTAGGGGAGTAAGATCACTAAATAGTAGTGAGAGAACATTAGCCCCTATGGAGACGAAGCATAAATACCAGGGCTGAGAGGCTAAGCATCAGATCACTCGGATCTAATGGCTGCATGATTAAACTCTGAGCTGAGGCCAATGGAGATAACAGCGCTGCTCTTTGCTGTTCAGTGCAGAGGCAAAAGTAAATACAGTTAGATTCATACAATTTGACATCAGAGGCCTGTTTTCCACCTGTGAGAAACAAAAGGACTTCTAGTCAACAAGGAACTTCATTGACGTGCAAAGTCACAGGAAGTTAGTCACTTCTGTTTTTCAGCATCATGTCTGCGGATCTTTCTCCTATTCAGGCATGTTACATAAGCTTTATTCATATCTAAAACCTAACCTGAGTTGGCCTAGTCAGTTTCTTCAGCTACTCTGAGTCTTATATTGTAAACTAGCTCTGGATCTTTACAGTTGCACATGCATAAATGACCTTTGCATTGTACTAGGGGAAAAAAGCTGACATCATGCATTGTTGCAGGACAGATCAATTAGTGCCAAAGCACAGTTGAAGCAGTTTACCTTCTTCTCATCAGTCAGGTCTAAAGACTCCAGTTTGGTTCCCTGGTGGGCTGCATAGATCTCCAACAGGTTGTCGAAGTTGGTGGTAAGCACCAGTGCGCCACTCTCCATCAGTTGCAGGACAGATTGCAGGAGGTGTTTCCCTGCATGCTCCATCTTGCTTTCCAAGTCATCAAAAACCTCGTAAAGACAGTCTTTGAAGAACGTGGATCGTACATTTCCTGTCCTCTAGGAAAGAAAACATAATGGTGCCGTTCATTCACAGGAGCGCTTAAAGTGTCTTTAGAAGTGTACATAAAAAAAACTCCACAGTTAATGGCTTAAATGGTGACAATGTGGAAATAGCATGAAAGACAAAGGAGCTTTTCTTGCAGTAGAATAATGTGAACTGAAGGATTTACTTTAATATTTGGCTGCATTTTCCACTTTTGAATGAATGAATAAAATAAAAGGAACTTATTTCAGAAAATTTGACAAATAATAATAAATCAGTCTCAAAAAATACTTCAAACAAACAACCAAATACCCACAAAAAGAGATTGGTTACAAAAAAAATATTTCCAAATAAATTCATTTGAATATAAATAGAATACAATTTTCCAATAAATAAATAAACCTGTCAGTATATGCAGTCAGAGAACTGACATTTATTAATGTAAATTGTTTGAAAAGGGGTATGAAGAACTAAAACTTGTTTTTCATACCCCTTCTCCCTCTAATTGCACTTAAAGTTTCTTGAGTGAAGAAACAGACACACATGCACAGTGCATGTTAGAGCAAGACGTCTTTGCCCTCAACTTTACTGTTTTTTTTATTTTCCCATCTGCTAAGCCTTAGGAGCAAATAAATCTACAATAATTAGTCTGAATGGTGTCACAGGAAGGGCTTTACTTTGTTCTAACATGTGCACATTATCTACTTCAGGTATTAGTTTCACAAGCTTTTTGTTGTGTCATGTAGGTTCCGTCTCTACATGACATCAGACTCATGTCTGTTTTCAGGAACAATAATCTTTCTTTTCATTGTTATGCTGATGACGTCCAGATCTACTTTCCTTTAGCATCAAAATCCAACAACTCCATCTAGTCATTTTCTAACTGCTTAAACAATGTTAAATCCTCAAAGCCTTAAACTTTCTGAATCTGAATGAAAGTAAGACAGAAATTATAATGTTTGGTTGGAGTTCAGCAGTTTTCCCCCCTGGCTTCTTGGGCCCTCTTACACCTAACATTCGATCATCAGTAAAAAAAATCTTGGTGTAATATTTGATGACAGTTTGAAATTTGATCGCCAGGTTAGTTCGGTCGTAAAAAAACAGCTTTTACCAGTTAAGAATTTTTCTTTTAAAAGTGAAAGGGTACCTGCCACAAAAAGATCTGGAGACTAATCCATGCTTTTATTAATACAAGATTGGATTACTGTAACTCTTTATATGCTGGCTTGGACCACTCACTTTTACACCGTCTGCAGTTGGTACAAAATGCAGCTGCCCGTCTCCTTACTGGCACACGTAAACGTGACCACATATCACCTGTTCTAGCCTTATTGCACTGGCTACCGGTTGTTTTTAGGATAGATTTTAAAACTTTATTGTTTGTTTTTTAAAGCTCTTAATGGTCTAGCCCGCCAGTATTTGACTGAGCTTCTCCAAATTCATGCCCCGGCCAGAACACTGAGATCCTCTAATCAGCTGCTACTGGCGATGCCTAAAACCAGACTTAAAACCAAAGGTGATTGTACCTTTATGGCAGCGGCACCGTGACACTGGAATAACTTGCCTTGGCATATGAGATCAGCAGGCTCCTTTGAGGTTTTTAAATCCTCTTTAAAATCACATTTCTTCTCCCTGGCTTTTAATCATGTCTAAGTGGACATTTGGCAAAATTTTATTTTAAATTTTATTTTATTCTAAAATGTATTTTAATTGAAACATTTATCCTATTCTATTTTTATGTGTTTATGTATTTTAGCCTTCAGTTTTTATCTTATGTTTCTTAACTTTGATTCCTGTACAGCACTTTGGTCAACCCTGGTTGTTTTAAATGTGCTTTATAAATAAAGTTTGAGTTGAGTTGAGTAGACTTGGGCTGCAGGGTGATCAGTTTGTAGCACGGCTGCAGCCACAAGACCCAGGGTTCCATCGTGGCCTATAGTCTTTCTGCATGGAGTTTGCTTGTTCTTCACATGCCTTCTCCAGGTACTCCAACTTCCCCCCACAGCCTAAAAACATGACTGTTAGCTTACATGCTCATGCTCCTGTGTGTGTGCATGGTAGTTTGTCTCTGTGCTTGCTGGCAATAGAAGGTGACCTGTCCAGGGTGTAGCCCAAGTTTACCTTATGGATGTCAGACAAGAACTGAATACTTTTTACGTTTGCTTAATAAGAAACATAATGAAGCAATGATACTCTCATTGAGGTAGAATCTGTCTTTCATTATCATCCATTTTCAATGTTTTTTTTAAAGGACACTCAGACTGAAGACAGCAGTATTAGGTAAATAGCTGTTTTGAAAGGAATTCCTTATAATGAAATCAAAATTTATATTTGTAATTTTGGAATATTTTCTCCCAAAAAGGTTTGAGATTCTTTTTTTCTGCTTTTTCAGGGGTGCTTTTAAAAGGATGCTGCATAAATAATCATGAGTTGGAGATATGAAATCAAACACTGAGTAGTGAATAGATTCTGTTGCCCCAGGGCTGGAAATACTTGTATTATATAAAGAAAAAAAATCACAGAATAAATACGACAAATGAAAAGCAAGGCATTAGGAAAGGATTGGTTAGAACTAGTCAGAAATAAAAGATATAGTTCTGGGATAGATGCAAGGATAGTTTTACTTTATTTCTGCTCTTCCTGGGTTTATTTTCAAACATTCATTGGAGCTGGAATGTTGGACTTGTCTGCACACAAAGATAATAATTCTTACATCATCTGAAGAACTAAACTGCGTTACAGAAATATCTCGAGGCCATTAAACTAAACAACCTCAATGTGAAGTCAAATTTCCATCTCTAAACAAAAAGGCTGTTGATGTGACTGACTTATGATCCAATGTGACCAGAGCATTTATAAATCAAGTGGAATAAAACATGCATCTGAGGACTCAGGTGATATAAATTAGTGTTATATTATGGATTGATAAATATGTTGGACAATAGAGTGAGGAATAAAGTTTGGAAGTAAAACAGTTTTTAGTTTCCAAATTACAAATACAGAACCCCTCAAGCTGCAAATTTAAGCTTAACTTTAATGGAGTATTTCAAAACATCTGTGAAAGTCTTATTCAACTTAAAGTCGTAGAGAAGCGGCTGTTCCATCCGTTGCATTTCCAAATTCTCCTGAGTGGTGGCCGACTTTACACCAGTGAATAAAGTAAATGTGATTGGTTGTTTATAAAGGGGGTGGGATTGTTGTGGCAGAAGATTTGCAAGCATGTTTAGTTGTGGCCGGTTTCTCTGAAGCATCTTACTAACCAGTTAGCAACTTATTGCTAGTAGGTTCCCAATGGGAAATTACATTGAGACCAAGTAGCACTAAATTGGTGATTTAGAAACAACACTGTCAAGGAACGCTACGGACAGCGGAAACATGCAAGAGGAGGAGAGTTTTGTGTTGGAGGTCGTGGATGAGTCTCCTCCGTTATACATTTTTTATTTAGAGGAGGAAAGTGGGGACGGAGTTGTTGTGGAAGAGGACACCAGGGCAGCAGAAGCTTGGTTTGGTGTAGAAGGCTTACAGCCGTAGATGTTTGAGCCCTTGCCTCGCAATGCTGCCAGTTCTGTTAGCTCTACGCCTGCCGAAGACACAGACGTCCATCCCCGTGAACACTGGGACGTAACTCAATGGTAAAGTAAATTTTTTTTTTTTTATTTCAACCGTTGCATATATTAGCTGCAACATGTGAATCAATATGCTATGGCCCAAAAAATTTGATTGAGAGATGACCGTAGATATATGATTTGCCGAATTTAGGCGTACAAGCTGACGTATAACTAACTGGCCTGCATAAAATAACGGAAAAAAACCCAGACTTTAAGACAGGATTTTTTTTTTTACTGAAATTTATTAACTTTTGGGACAATATAGTCTGATAAAGAGTACATTTATATACATGTTTAAGCCAGAATGATTTGAATTTTAAATATGACTTCCCTACGACTTTAGGGATATAACCCTGTAAGGCGTAAATCTCATCCTTACCTTGCTTAGGGTGATGTAAAAACAACAGAGAGCAAAGGATGCTGGTAGCTAAGTATAGCCAAGGTTAGAGCAGTGACCAAGGTGAACTGAGATTGGAAGGAAATGCTGCCCCCACTTCCACAGATTACAGCTCTAATGGGTTAAACAGCAGGAGTCTTTTCCACAGGAAGGAGTTCATTATCCCCAGCTAGTGTCTACAGCCACCGTCCTGATCACCCTGTCCTCAGGCAGACTCACAGCTTATGTAATAACCAGCTAAAGAACAGGTAAGCATGAATCAACAACAGATGAACGGACATTTTCCTGCTTGAAACGGCGTAATGAACTCTGTTGTTGCTAAGGCAGGAAAGTGTGAAAGGATTCATGGCCAAAGCTTGAGATTAGACTCACTGCTTCTACAGAGCAGAGAAACAGGGCTGATTTCCAAATCCATGGAAGTGGGTTAAACCCCCTAAGTGGCCATAAAGCAGGTGTCACATACCCAGACACATATCGCTAAAGTAGAGTGAAAGTTCAAGTGAAACTGCTGCATGTTTTTATGAATAGAGCAACTAGACGTCCAAATGCTCCACTATAACCCGTTGTGGTCATAGGTGGAGCTTTAAACCTGTCTGAATGGAAAATCTGGGCTACAGGAGGGAGGGAAAGGGGTGGGGGGGTTGATGGAGGTGGGGTTCTGGTTCACATTATTCCATGTTTGTTTGGCTTTTTTCCTTCCCTCCGACCTGCTGTGCTGGACCCCGCTGTGTCTGCGGCCAACGGGAGTGGACTGGTGTCTGCGCGACATTGGAACAAACTAAACACGACGGATAAAGCCATAAAAGCGCTGTTTGTTCCCTTTGTCTCGACAGGCTGAGGGCCGAAACAAAGCCTGTTTTTATCAATGTCAAAGGTGCGATGACACATGACTAACACAGGAGGCAAACGGTATTAAGACTCCCATCTGCCAAACCCTGCTCCAGATCAAACCGGTTCAGTTCTATGTCAATACTGTGGTCTTTTCTTTTGTTTTTTCTTCTCTTTGATT